GTTGCTGTCACAAAGGGGAAACAACATGCTTGTTTTTGTCATAGAATCTGGCTTCCAATAAACTTTTGCTTGAAATTGAAATCAGGAGTGCACTTCAGCAGCAGCTGAGACGCCATCTGATAATAATAAATTACTAATGTGTCAGAGAAATGAACCAGATATAGTGAGTGATTACAGGGCTGATGATAGTTAATGCATATAATGGACCATGGCATAATATGCACTTGTTCAACACCTTCATAACTAATCGGTATCATCTTTTTAGCATCCTTTTACTTTATATTACTAATAAATGTTCCAGTTTGCCTGGAGTCAGATCCTGTAAATTGCATTAACGTATAAAACTGTACAGAAAACTTACTTATTCTTAAAAGTGCACAAAATATCTGTTCACACACATGTCCACTCACTCATAGACACAAACAGGCTGGAAAACACATACAGACACAAAAAACCCTACACTGCTGTTGCTGCCTGTGTTTCTGTGCTTTATATGTTGTGTTCAACCAGAAAGGCCTCATTGAAATTATACATCTTTTTCATGAGTGCTTGAACCCAAGGTTGAACCCAAATGTAGAAAAGAAGAACATGAAGACACTATGAGGGAAGGATGATAATACAAGTGACACTAAAACAGGTGGAAAAAGCAGGAAGTGAACACAAGACACATGAGTAAAGGAGTCTTTCAACATAAAACAGGAATTAACTAAATTAAACCCAAAAACCATGACAAGCACAAAATATTCCAAAAATAAAAATTTGAAAGAAATGTGATTATTAAGATTTAATCGAGCTAAATAGCATCATAAAACAACCCAAGAATTGCCTAAAACCTCTATCTAAAACACATAATCTAAAACAAGAACTTAGTTAGACTAACACTGCAAGACCTATGAAAATACTCATGAATATTGGCAGCCAGAAAATATATGTAGAGACATTTTACAGTTGAAAAATAAACTGCTCTCTATGATGGACAGACTGTGTAATGGTGAAACTGTTTCTAAATGATATAAAAATATATCTTTGGCATTTCTTTTCTGTAATTTCTTGTTACTGATTTGCAGATACGCTGATAAGATTTCCGATGCCAAAATCTAAAATCGGACTTTAATATCAGCCACGCTGATAAATCAGTCTGGCTCTTTTTATGTGAGTCATTTGCTGATTCTGCAGTAAATTAATCTCTTTGATTTCTTTCTTTTTTTGATTCTCAGTCTAAGCATACATTAAGTTGTGCCACTTCTTGTGAAGTGCACTCGGATTCATCTCGTTGCGACTGATTTGTCTTTGTCTTGTGTGTTTCCTTTCATCAGTGGAGCATAAAAATCTGTCTGTATTGTCAGTGAAAGTGTTGTTGCTGTGATTTAGTTCAAGGTCCACTCATGCTGCGGAGGGGGATAGAAGTCTTTCAGTAATCTCAGGCTGGGACAGATCAGCACTTGAAAGGTGAGAGCTCTTTCAGGTTATAATGAGCCTGGTGTGGTCAGCCATCTTCCCCTTGACAGCCCTAATTTTAGCAGAAGAGGGGGTAAAATTAATCCATACTGGAGGACACAGTGGGATTATATATATATTATATGTCAAGGGTGGTTTTTCTAGTGCACGTCTTTGACCTTTTCAGTGACTGCTTAAGTCGTTGAATCAGTGGAACGGTTTTGCATTCAACGTGTGTTATTTATATGCCATAAATCCTTGCACGTAAAGTAGGGGTCAGCAGTTGTAGGTACATGAACTGGCAATAAGAAAACGGACACAACTCAACATTGGAAGTGGACCATAAAGTCCTCTAACGATGCAAGACTTAAAGGTTTTGGAAAGAGAAGAGTTTGGGGGAAGTCTCTGGCTTCTCAAATGAACAACAGCTGGATCTGGAAACCATACAGTTGTAAACACACCCACCTGCTTAATTTCATTAACACCTCTTGAAATTTGGGATACAGTTAACAGCTTGGCTCTTGCATTACAGTATGTTTACAACCTGCGGTCTGAAAACTGCCATGGCTTTCTCCCACTCCCCCAACAACAAGCAACAATCTGAACATCAGTCAGTGCTCACACACATTTATTTATTTGTGGCTACAATCACGCCCCCAGTTTGCTGTCTTTCTTCTGTAGCACAGAAAATATTGTCTTTGTTGTGATTGTTTTCCATTGACTTCAGTGACTCACTAGTGGCTCATTCATTTGGAGTTTACATACACTGTAAACTGCATTTCCAGTTCCCTTACCTCAAGAGGTTTGGACAGTTCTAGTTTTTAGAGTAAGAGTAAACATTCGCTATTTTCTCAGTTTTATATAAGTGCAAACTAAATATCTTGGGGATTTGAGCTGTTGATAAACAGATAAACATTTTAATGTTAATTTTTCACTCCTTTTGAACATTTAGAAAGAATGAAAATTGCAAGATTAATGAATCAGATTAGATTAGCTAGATTAACTGACATTATATAGTTGTCTGCTGCGTCGCTACTATCAATATCACCTGGCTGTGAGATGCCAATTAACCTTCTCGACCTCTTTTAAGAATAAGTAAAAAAAATAAATTAAGAATATAATTAATTTTTATTTTTAGCTGTACAGTCACTTTATTGTACTATCAATTAATTGTGTTTTATAACCTGTAGTGTCCATTGCAATGACAGCTCTTTACATTATTTCAGAGAAAAAGAGTAATACTGCCCAAAACAAATTTGTGTAATATCTTGGACAGTGATATTTTATCCCAGGTGTTACACCCTGTCTCTGGCGGACGTTGAATGCATTTTTTGTATGTCTTCAAGTTAAAAAGCTAACATCACACACACTGTGTGCTGATTTCTCTCTCTCCACCACTCCATCCTCCTCTCGCCCCAATTTGTCATTTTGTAACTTGAGATGGCATCTTTTCCCTTGTGCATAATGTATATTCCATATCTCAGAAATTCAGTATGTGTTGGCTGGGTTCTTCTCTTTGTAGGGTTGTAATGTGCTCTCTTGGTAAGAGAGCACTCTCAGGTTTAGATCTTTTCCTACCTGCGAATACACTTTTTTTGGCAATAGTCCTTTTAACTTTAAGTTTCACTAACTTAATGTCTGCACATCAGATGTCAACTTCATTCACTCATAAAATTTTGTCTTTTGGGGTGGTTTCCTGTATTTAGTTCATGGCACTGGTGGCTCTCTCAGTAAAGGACTGAGACCCAAGTTTTGTAGCATCCAAAGTTTATAGGAACTGCTCATAGCTTGCCTAATATGAGCACACCTTGAAACTCAGTTATGAGTGTCTGGTGGCTCCTGTTATTAAAAAAAAAACAACTTTTGAGGGCCAGACATGCAGACATACTGATAAGCACACAGCAAACTTTACAGACCTGCAGTGGACAGCAGGAGGAAGATGACCGTCAGGACATTAAAGGACTGCCGGCTGGTGATAGTCATCTTCTCGTCCTCATGTGAGAAGAAGGGAGGGAGCAGGAGGGAGAGAAGGAGGGGGTGCTGCTCTGCTTTAGCTGGAAATGGGCATTCTCTGGTTGTTGACAGCTCCTCTCACATGGCTGCTGCTGCTGCTGGGAGTCAAGACTCCTGATGGGAACAAGACAAGCAGAGAAAGAAATGATTATTTGATTTGGTTTTCTGGAAGTTCCACCCATACTGTGTGGACAGCTTGTTTGGCAGCAAAGGGCCATGATGACATGTGCAATTGGTCCTTAGGTTTACATAATAAGACAGCTTGGACATTACTATTAATTAAAATTGGCACTCTGGCAAGACAGGAGCACAGTTTTTTTCCATACTTGCACAAAATCCTGATAGTAATAACAGATTTGTTGCAGGAATGTTTGCACTTGATTCTGGAACACATCTTATTCGTGTATTACAGAACTAGACCTAACAATTACTTGATTAAACGAGAAAATAATCAGACGATGAATTGACAATAATGATAGCAGATAATAGAGTAGCGCTTTAATTTTATGGGTCCATAATTTTTTGATAATGTAATCTGGCATTAATTATATGGAAAATAGAGACAGCTAATCCACAGCAGGATGTCTGAACATGCAAAAATGTGAAATCCGACTTGAAGCACAATAACATTTTCAATGATAAATAAATGATTAAATAATATTTACTTTTATTTTTTACTTTTATTTGCTATTTAAACCTTTCATCAGTACTGATATACATAGTTATGTAACAGACTATTCTGTGTTTACTGTTTCTATATTTGAAGTAATGTCTCCCCTTGTAGTGTTTTGACTAGACACTTGGTTGCAGTTATTTCGAGGAAATGTTTGTCTATTTTTTTATCACAAAATTATGGACCCATAAAATAAAGTGTTATGGTCAGTTGCAGCATCTGACGATTAGACTGTAGATTAAAACCCCCTCGCCTCACCCTAACCTTTCAAGCGTGTAGGAGTAACTATGGTGGCGCACAAAACCCAAAAGATCCTATCTAGAATCAGGTTTTGGTTTGTCCATTGTAGGCTACTGTAGAAGCATGGCAGTTTGTGGAAGAGGGCCCGCTCTTTCTTTTATCTCTTTCTGTAGATAACAACGGTTCATTCTAAGGTCACAAAGACACAACGATTCTTATTTTCATGTGATTATACACTAATGAAACCATATGAATATTACATTTAATTTCTGCCAATAGATCTCCTAGATTTCACACACTACGGTGTACGGTGGATTGGATGAATACATCAGCTATCAACAATTGGTCATCGCCAATAGCAGATTTTATTATTATTTTTTTTTTTGATGATTCTTGTCATTTTATTTTGCAAATGGTCTGCATCCGATGAATGAGAACCACTCAGTGACAGACGTTCAGTGGCGCAGTACACACACTAAGCCAAAGAACGAATGAGAGGAAAAACAGCTGTAGAGCCAGTGTATTTTCACCATCATCTTAACTGTGGTGAATTCAACGTTTTTTGACTAGTTTGATGACAGGAAATACAGTAACAAGGTGATTCGCAGAGGCTCTAAACAAGTCTGGGGACACAGCAGGGACAGCTGTCCAACCCTATCACAAACCTGACCTTTAATTATGCACTAATTTTGACTGTAACTTTGACTAATTTCCCCTGTAAGAATACAGGCCTTCTGATGCATTACATCAGAAAAACATTAAAGACAGAACTTGAATCAGATAATAAAGATATTTCTATTTCTATGTTTTTCATTGCAATCTGTGAAATGTATCAGTTTGTTGAGAACTAAGATCTAATCGCTGGTAGATATTCAATTATATAACTGTCCTTGTTAGCAAATAAAAATGCTACAAGTTCACTAAAAGTATGATGTTCTCAGAGAAAGTTGTGCTTTTACAAAATATTTAATGAATTAGAGAGAACTTGCTCCTTCAGCACAGTCAGTGTGCAGCGTTTTGATTGCAGAACTGCTGCAGATCAGTTTGCTTGTAAATGATGCATCGTGGGAGTACATGAATTCAGTCGTGTATCACTGTACAGTTACTATTCAAAGCTGCATCATAGCCATCCGTCCACTGATGCTAAATGAGATTAATGGGGTGGCGGCACATTCTGCTTAGCCATGCTTGTTTTTTGTTCTTTGGCAAATTGATTCCTTTAATAGTATCAGAGGAAATTACTCATAAATAGTCCCTGTCCCTGAATTAGTTAAATGTGATGTTTATGGTAATTTATAACAAACTCTGTCGTATTTGTTGGTGGTTTTACAAAGTGAATGTGAGAGTTGCAGTTGAATGTGACCCTGCTGCATGTAGCAGCCTAGCATGGGCTGCAAACATAGATAATAATGTCTAATTTTAAGGGTGGATAAAGTGGAAGCTGCAAGTCTTGTACCAAATAGGATGTTAATAGGGCCTCAAAAATTTATTTACTTCTCAAAACCATAAAATCTACACCTCCTAGATTTATGATATATATTCTTTTTCAACTAAAGTACCAGAATCTGCCTTTGAAATGACCCCCAGACCACAGAGGGCTTCAGCTGCTAGTTTGTGCAAAGAAATTCAACATCCTCTCTGTAGAAGCTGCATGGAAAGTATTACAAAACCCAAGTCCTAAATTATTGAATAGCCGACAGCGGCTGACAGCAGGATAGAAACCACATATAAGGAGCAACAACAGGGGCGTATAGATGGCCATCAATGTTCTTTTTCGTGTGATGAAAAAGAAGGCAATGGTGGATTACATCCAATTTAATGTTGCATCACCACTGTCTTTTCTTTGTCTTTTTTCTTGATGTTATGGAGCTGAGAAATATTTATTATAATATATATTATAAGGGGGATAGAAACATTTGGTTTTGCTCACCAGGTCATAAATGTCAAGTTGTACCTGTTTACTTTTAAAAGTCATACTTTTATAGAGCAGCTACCTTTTTTGAAGTTGAGGTGATGACATGGTCGTCATAGTGAGGAGGACATGATAAAGAGATCGGCAACAAGCTTGAGTATCGTACAGGTTGCACACAGCTAGCCACATTGTGTGTTCAATAGCAGCTGTGAGGCATGGGACATCGACTGTTGTTCAGGTTGCACTCTAATCTTTAAAAGTAGAGCTGCAATTAACAATTAGTTAATTAATTGATTTGATCAAAGAAAAATAAATCTGCAACTATTTTGATCATCCTCCTCTTGCCCCAATTTGTCATATCATATCATTATAGTAAATTGAATATTTTTCAGGTTTGGACTGACAAAATAAAAATTAATGACTTTTAACAATTAATCAAGACAATAAGTAATGAAAAACATATTAGTTGCAGCTCCATTTGAAAGTGTGCTGCCTTTATTGCTGCCAATAAAGAGTTGTTCAATGGGGTTTGAGTGGAATGTGAGGAATGTGTAGAAAGAAGCACTTGACATTTTTCACAGCTTTCACACCTGCCTAATCCATGCAGAAAGCAGGCATGGATGACGGCTTTCGCTTTCATTTTCTAATTTCATTTAATTTATTTAAGACCTCTGAATTACAGGTCCTCACAGGTCTAAAATGTAAGACCCTAACCAAAATGCACTCAACAGAAACCTACCCAAACCCACCCAGCAGTGCCTCTAAGATATTGCAGGCATTTTTGGGATTGTTGAAGCCTAAACTGCCTAATTTCATGGCACCTTTTCTAAAAGGTTGATGCATGTTGCAGTGTTCATAGCCATTTTCTGCAATGTATGTATTACTTTTTTTGTATAATTCATTACTTGAAGACAACTTGTTCTAGTGAGAAAAAATTATCTTGTAGTTTGGTGACATACGGCTCAAAGTCTCGGGTGGGGGACTGCTGTGATTGATGAAACTTGTGGGAAAGTTGCACTGATTGGACAAAACTGTTCTTCCTGGAGGGACTGTCCAATGTGTGTGTGTGTGTGTGTGTGTGTGTGTGTTTATATGTATATGTATATAAGTGGCACACAGACCGATCCTAATAGGCCCAAGAATGAATACTGTAGACCTTTGGATGCTGCAATAGATGCTATTTTTCCCAGCAGTTTACAGATCACAGTGGTCTGCCTTACATGCACATGTGTATTACACATACTGAAACACAGACCAGAGACCTCCTGTAGTACAGTGGGATTTTATCTGAAACATATAACCTAATTTTGACTCTGTTCCTTAGAACCGAGAGGACCCTTGAAGCCCTGTGCTTCCTTGTCAGACTACTGTACTTGTCCAACACCGCTTATACATTATTTACTTTCGGAAAGCTGCTTATAAATATGGTACGTAGCCTTGTGAATGTGAAGTCAAGCATTACTGAGAAAATATGCACCTGTTTAATTGAACCTTGGTGGATAAACAAAATTAAATTAAAGTTTTGTAAACACCTTGGAGAGTCACGTTCCCTCTATGTTACTGCGTTAGTTGCTGTTGTTTTACCGGCTCCAGTTCCCACATTGTACTTGTTGCCACGTTTCTTATGCAATCAAAACAGCACGAACTGATGGTTGCACATGACTAATCCATTATACAAAGCATTACTATGGACCGCATGGACAGAATATGTATGTGGAGCACAGCAGGCTGTTTCTGTTACAGTATTTTAAAGCATTTCAGATCAGACAAGCTGTTCCCTCTTTAGAAAGCCAGGCAGCTGAGGTCCCAGGAGGCTTGTTAAAGTGGCATTTTATATGTTTTTTTCCCCCGATCTTTTTACTCCTGGTGAGAGAATCAGCGTACGGCCAGATGACAACATGTGCTGTATGATGAGGGATTCCTATTCCCTACAATCCCCTCCTTTCTACTGCTTTTTTATTTATTTTTTTACAAGGGTTTCATATACATTATTTATTCTTTATTTCTTTTCCTTTTTTTATATGGAGTCACATCATTGTCACATTACTCCCTGTGCTGTATAGGCAATAAAAGGGCAAGGTTCACTTCATCACAGTGCTGAGCTTGTTTGCAAAGAAGAAGTGAATGTGAAGGGTTTGTGTGATGAGCCTGATGGTAGTGAAGCAGAACATGTACTGTAAATATGCAGACAGGCACACACAGCATAGTACACTGTGCATTGCTCCCTGGGACTGAAAATAGAACATACCGCCCAGCTGAACAGGCATGCAACACAGATGGAGGGTCTAG